CCATAACAATTACTATATGTATATACAGCACGCTTCCATGTGCGCCCAGTGGACAAGCTAACCCCTCGATTTCCTATCAATATCAATAAGCCATATCGATGTCATTGAATGACAAGCCCAACTAATACCATATTGATTGCCTGACCAACCCCTGGACAAGGAACTGCACCCACAAAGGCATTTGCACCACATAACTCGGCATCAGGCGGCACATCCTGTGCACATCCTGTTGAAGTATAAAAGGGTTTATGGCGTGTTTGCAAAAAAACAGAAAGGGAAACAAAAACCAATAATAAAAAATACATATATAAATAAATATAATAATAGCGCAGTGAAAGGAGAGAAACAAAATCCCGAACAAACATTAATTTGTAACGCACGTTTGGCCAATTTCGGTTTTACAATTTTGACCAACAAAAATGTACCCCAAGTGACCGCATAACGAGCGCAAATCAATTTGCCACGTTGATAAGCAACCCTCCAACGATGATAACCCTTTTTTTTATCCCTTTGCCCCGTGGGCCCCTCTGCTGTCATAGCAGGGGGATTTATAGATATTAAATTAGACAGGATTTTAACACGCGCACGTAACTTTGACATACATCAACCCGACTTAACTTTGTACGAAAAAATAAAATAGAAAAACAAAACAAAAATTGGAGGGGGGCTGAAAAAACAATCTCAAACAATGCAAATTGTATGCCAAAATGTTGAGATTTGTTTTGCTGACCAAACCAGAGTATAAAAGAATTCGAATATATATATGTATATAAAGCACACACACATGTGTGTATGTCCCAGCTGCGTATCCTGTCTTCGTCTCTCTCCCCTGCGGTTGCCCCAATTTCATTCCCGAATCGCATTATAATCATAATAATAATAATAACAGTAAGCAAAGATGACAGCAAATTTCAAATAGGTGTGAAATGAAAATTCTGTTGTGTATAGATAGAGATTGGTCAGCAGTTGGTCTCGGACTTCGGGCGGGGGATGGGAGGATTTGGGTTAAAAGTGCTACAAAGTCACAGATGTTATGTGGCCAATGGGAAATTCAAATTTGGAAAAGGATTATTGACCAAATATTGGCTACATTTCTAGGGGGACGAAGATGGCTTGGATTTTTGTTTAGATTGGTCAAGTCTAGAGTTTGAGACTTTTGGGTGGTTGTGTTTCGAAAGCGGTATTGTTTAAGGTAAAATTTAATCTATATTAAGGTATTATTTATCTCATATAATTATAAGAATTAATAGCCATTTTAAAGGGCATTATAAAGAAATTAATAAAGCATTTAGATGTCTTTAAGCAATTGTTTAATATATTTTAATAATGATGTATATTGATCTTCTATTTCCAGTGAAGTTCTTTAAATTTTCCAACTTCCTAATAGTTTTAACGTAGCTTCCATTCAATTTTCCAACACTATTTGAAATTTGTTTTTTTTTTTTAACCCATCTTTTTGGATTTTTACAATGCCCAGTAGCCATTGCCCACCTTGAAACATGCAACAATGAAATCATAAAGATTTGAGCTGCTCAAAAAGTAAACTCGTTCCTCTATATACGGTTTAATGAACTGTGTCCCATTTCAAGCCTCTTTCCCGTCCACCTATAAGGCCCAATCCCTGACATTAGCCATGGCTATTTACTTTTCAGTTCGCTTCGGACGAGCACCGATCTTTTAGGGCCAACATGTGAAAGAAAATAAAAATCTCACAAATTATTTATTAATTACCCCAGCACACAACCTCGCTTGAGTCGAGTTTGCTCAAAGGTTAAAGCCAAACTGTAGGCTCCAGAAGTATTATTTTCAATTCTCTGCTTATCGCTATTGTAAATTGTAATTTCTTCTACTCTCCAGCCTCTTTCTGGTTTCCTATCTTTGCTTCTTCTTTTTTTTTTGGCACAATAAATCAATAAATCAATCACAGTTAGGACTGTGTGTTGTGTTTTTTGTTATCTTTAACCAAGTTTTTAGTGTCTTGCTAGATTTTTTTTGTGGGGCTCAAATTTTTAAAAGGCCTTGTAAAAACACTGGAGAAAATTTGACATTAATATGAATATTAAATCACTACAATATTATAGTAATAAATATTAACATTAAACATTAAATAATGCCAAGGTGTAAAAACAGATCTAAAACCCTTGTTAATTATTATTAAACATTGTTATTTTTACAAGCAATTTATGTTTATTTAATATAACAATTGTAAATTTGAATTGTTATTGTTTTATTTCGATTATAAAAGTATAATAAACATTAAAATAGCTGAAAATATTTTTAATCCCTCCAATAATTGTTAGTGTACATTTTTTCCCCTATTTTCTTTTTGAGATCTGTTAAGTGCGATAAAAGAAAAATTCCATGACATGTTTTGTGCCATGCATAAATTTATATTGAATTATCTACATCAAAGCGTAAGATGCGGGCTGCTTAGAAAACACATAAATAGTAAAAAATTGTGGAAAAGGTGGGACATTTTCTAGTGGATTTAAAATTTTAGCAGTTAACATTTTTATGAAAGCAGCCAAGTCAATTAAATAGGGAACACATTCGAAAATCAACAAGCTGTGGTGAAAATTTACGTGTTTTTGTGAGTTGAGAAACTCACTCAAGCGTTGAGTTTCCATTATTTCACTCGCACTCACACTCACATTGCTGCACTCATTCAACAATGGCGGCTTCAACGGTTAATGGTCGGCTTGCTCTCTCTCGCTCTTGTGGGAGTGGCTTCCGTTGATGGTTCCATTTACCGTTTCGTTCCTATGGCCGCTTGCCGCTTCGACAGAGTAAATTAAAATTTTTGTGTAGTTTATTATTAAATGAAGCGCATTTTTGTATTTGTATGTGGACCAACTGAATGTCCGTCTGTCTGTCCGGTTGCTAGTGTTGGTGTATATGTGTGGAAATTGTGAGCAACAGCGGCATTTTTATATAGATAAACATAAAATAAATCGTGGGCCGTCGGTGGGTTAAGCGTTTACCCCTCTTGGAGGCCAACCCGCAGACATAAGGCACATAATAATATTAAAATGTTAATTAGCGTATTAATTCAGTTCGGCGTTGAAAGAACCGGAAAGGGATTTTAAAATGTATATTTTGAGGTATTAACTTTAACTATTTGAATAAGTTAAAATAGTAATTATAAGAAATACTTTAGAAATAAATTAATCCTACAAATTAAAGTATCTAAAGCTTAACTCTGTTAAATATCTTTTATTATTTATTTCCAAAATGATTTACAGTTTGCCTTGTAAACCTTATTATTCACCTGAAATATTAAATATTACAAAACCCCTCTTAACTAACAGCACTCAATATTTAATAACCAATTTATACTACCCACAAATTAAATTTTCCTTCAACATTTATTACTCTCATTTATTGCCAGCGCAATATTTAATTATTTAAATGAATAAAAACCCATACGAAAAAAAATCAACAGAGACCGTTCTCAATATTTATAGCTTTTTAAACAAATAAACAGAGTTCGCAGTTCGCTGGCAAAAAGGCCACCCACAAAATCCCAGGGAAAAGCAAGAGAAACTCACGGAAAAACCCATGAAAATGCACTCAGAGAGGGAGAGGGCGCGAAAGAGAGAAAGAGACAGCCAGTGCCGGGATCAGTGGCGTTTCAGTCCCAGGCTCCAATCCGAATCCGAAATAGTTGATTTTAATGATGTACATAATAAAATTCCCATTCGTTTTGTGCCAATGCCAACGTTCCCCGTCTGCATTCCGCTTGTTCACACTGCCTGCGGTGGCTAGAGAGTGAGAGAGCGATGCTCTGATTTACTCACCAGAGAGTGGGAGCAGGATGGTTGCCCATCCAGCCATCTCACTCGCACTCGTGCGAATAGCGATGCTGCGAGGGGTTGGAAACGATTGAAACGATGCCCAGATTGTGCGACTGAGTCAATTTCGAAATCATTCGCCCGCTTGGCCAGTCAGTCGAAATTTTCTAGTAGGCCTAAACACACGCGGGGTCTTCAAGCCGACTTTTCCGGCGCTTTTCCAAAAATAAAGGGAATACCAAAACGAGAATCTGATCGGTGGATTTCTGCAGTGTGGAAACTAAAGTTACGAACTGAACGTGAAATCGGAAATCGTTTTTGAAAAGTGCTTGTGAAATAAAAACTTGAGTTTTTGTGATCTTTTAAAACTATTTTGATCGGTTATTATAGACTCAAAACCAAAAAAAGCTTTAACTTGCAAGACTTAAAAGTGCCCATGTTAAGATCATAAATAACTCTATTCTTCAATATGGAAAAATGCGAATAAATTGAAGTTCCAAAACTGAAAAATTCTTCTCAAGCTGCAAGGGATAATTTCCAAACTGGAAATACTAAAAATAAATTAGAAACTCTTTAAAAAACTCTTGAAAATCTTAGAAGAAGCGAACGGAAATTGTAAACCAGTAATTTTATACTTGAAATCACTAAAAAAAAATAACATAAAACAAATTGAATGACTACAGATGTTGGAAAATGATCAAATATTGCGGAATATAATACGGAATATTGAAAATTAATATAAATATACTACAAATCTGGGATTTAAGTACGGAAAACCACCTAAAGATTCAACGAATGATCAAATAAAACTATAAAACTGCAATCTATTTAAGGTTTATCTGGCCTAAATAGCAGCATTGGAAACCCCAGAGGACTTAATCTTAAATTCAGATATATATCGCTTATTCCCCAACCGATCCCAAGCTGGGTAGTCCATACCTGAACCTAACGCCGGCGGGTGGGAGCAGCAGCAATCCCTCGCCCTCGCCCACGTCTACGCCTCCAGCGCCCTCTTTGGACGCCAAGGTGGCGGCCAAGCAGCTGGCCCAAAGCTTCCAGCTGTCCGCCAACTCGGCCTTTAACTTGGCCCTGCCGCCGAGCTTCTACAGACAGTTACCGCAGCAATTACCGCAGCTTCAGCAGCAAATACAGCTTCCGCCGCAGTTACCAGAGTGTTTGGAATATAGTAACCACGACACGCCGCCCGAGATGGACCTAATCAATCCGTATATGCGGCATCATAGTTTCGCGGCAGCCGCCCAGGGTAGTCCACCGTCGGCGGCGCAACGTCATCACCATTTGGCGGCGGCCATGAGCAACGGATTCGCCGATGTCCATGCCCATGCCATGGCGGCGGCGGATTACCAACAGCAATTGGCTGACTATCATAGTGCAGCAGCCGCTGCGGCAGTGTATGCCAATAATAATAATAATAACAACAATAACAACAATAATAATAATAATAGTAGTCACAACAATAATAGCAGTCCACTGATGCTGCTAAAGGCGGCACATGGCAAGGACACAGATTCACCATCTACGACACCGCCGCCGTTAGCCTCCTCCCGTCTCCATTCCGACTCCTCGCCATCGCCACGGTATGAGCACAACTCTAGTCCTGGAGTGGACAGTGCCAAGTCGTATGCCCTGAGTCAAAGGAGCAGTGGAGGTGAGGATCCTGGCCAGAACAGTGAGTCTGCCAGTCCGCCGCCTCAGGCAGCGGGTGACTTTAGTCCCGAGAATCTTAGCAGTCAGCGGAACAAGTTCCAGCATCATCATCATGGCGTTAATCCGCTGGCCCATCATAGTGGGAATCCTGGACACCATCACCTCCATCTCAGCAATAACAACAACAACAACAATAGCAGTAGTTTGGATCATAAGCTACCATTGAGTTTCCTTGGTCCCCCACTGGCCGCTCTCCACTCCATGACCACGGAAATGAAGGGCGGTCAGGGTGGTGTCGGCGCTGTGGGTGGATCGGGCAATGGTTTGTCCTACGGCCACAGTCCCAACTCGCATCTGATCAGTGATCGAGGATCGGGAGGCAGTTCCTCCTCCTCATCGACCACGGCCACCACCACGAATAGCCAGGGAGCGGCCAATCCACATGGCATCGATACGATCCTATCAAAACCACCGCCAGTTACATCAGCGGGTCTAAGTGCTTTAACAGGAGGTGAGTGATGGTTTATAAAACTATTATTTATATTTATATACATATATATATATATTATCATTTATATTTATAAATAATAGTTTAGAGATATAAATAATTGTTTTAAGTTTTGCATTGTAAAAGATTCGAAAAGTGATAACCTTGCTCGATCGTATAAGAAAAAAATCTTCAAAAATATGAAAGAAACTTGCTACTTATTCACTCATTCAAAAAAACTTTCTTTACTAACATTAAAAGCTAACTTTATGTATCATTTAAATATTTTTCGATACTCCTAAGTTGTTAAAACCACACATATATATGATTTTTAGAAGTCTATGTAAAGGCAACTCTTATAAGAATTCTTTTAAATAAGCAAACGACTTTACTCCACACCAAAAAGGGCTGTAACAAATCTTTTGACTCAACTAATACCTTTATAAATATATATGGTATAGTTCCCTAGGACCCTTTACTAACCACGATATTGTTAAGATCATATTATATTATATAATCCTTTCAAATAACGTGTCTAAGGACATCTTAACCCCTTAGCAAATGTTATCAGCTAACAACTCCTCAAACCTCTTACAATTAACTGCAATAAAACCCAATTCAATTCACCAAATTGTTATGCAACATTAAAATATATATATATTATAAACGAATCAATAGATATCACACACAATCACTTTAAAAAAAAAATCGCGAAATATTTTAAATGCTTCAAAAACTCGTTTCGCAAACCAAACAAAAAAAATCAAATAAAAGAAAATGTGTGTGTTTTGTTTACGAATCCGGTTTTGGCATGATTCCATATGATTCAATAAAGGCAATTTCAATTCCGATTCCCCATCACAACCCTCGGTCATTATGTGCCACTGCTGCTGCTCCCCCTCACAAAAAACCCCTTTTACCTAATCAGGCCAGATTTTAGATATTGGGCACAGCCCCCCAAAAATTGGTTATAATATCCAATTGCAAAATTACCACAAACGTAATGAGATACGCGTTTTAACGTTAAATGTTGCAGCAATTAGTTGTCAAATTGTTTGTAATTAAATCAAAATGACACACGAAAAACGTGGGCAATCTACGACAGATTTTACGTGTATTTGTGACTAAAATGATTTTTGTTTTTTTCTATCTTTTTGGTCTCCGGATTTTTCGACAGTTAAATGTGAACCAATTGTAAGCCACGAACAAAAAGAGGGCTAAGGGGGGCGGCCAACGACAGGGTGCTGACAATTTGCCATAACATTTTTAATTATTTTTAACGAGGGCGTTTATGTGATTTGATTCGTCAATAGTTTCCTTTTTTTGGTCACCAAAAATGTTTCTCATTCTTTTATGACAAATTATTTAATGGCTTTTAATTAATTCGAACCGAAAATCCGCATTGTGTGTGTGAGTTCAGCATGAGTGGGCACAAATATTTGGCCAGCTGAGAACAAATTGAGCGAAAATCATCATGAAAGGGAAACTCAAACCTCGTTTTTTAGAGGATTAGTTAATGGCTTGATAGTGATTATATAACAGATCATGAAGTGGAGCAATTTATGATGACAATAGCAATTGTTATAAAGTTTTTGAGAGTATATTTTCTGTAGTGTTTATTCTTCAAGATTTATTTGAATTTTCAGAAAAAAACCTTATAAACCTTATTAAAATTATATGGATTATTTATATGAATAGCTCAACATAATTCTTTTAACATCTAATAATAGAATATAGATATCAAGAATATGATAAATTTGTTGATTTGTTTACTCGTTATTAAACTTTCCCTTTTATTTCTCTATATCTTATTTAGCTGGGATTCCCCGCTTCTCAATTGCCGCCGCCGCCGCGGGCATGGCCCAGTATCTGTCCCAGAGCCAAGGTGCTCCTCTAAAGACCCATGCTGGCCACATTGTGGACCGCACGCACCTGTATTGGCCAGGATTACAAGGATTGGTGGCCAATCCAATAGCGTGGCGAGAGAGACTTTCCAATACAAGTGAGTACAAGGAGAAAATGATACATATGTACACAGAAAAAAATTAGGAAAATCTATACATAAGTATATATAAAAGAACTTCCATTTAAAAATTGTAATACACATACCAATTTTTATTTTCCCATTTTTAATTTCATGGAAAATCAAAAAGTGAGCTTATAAATAATAGCAAAAACTGGCATACTATTTAATATCAAATATTTTAAAACTTACTTTAGTATATTGAATTTAACTTTAGGATTGAATACCAGAATTTTTCTATACAATTGAATGGGTATTCAAAATTATTTGCTTTCTCAGAAAGAATTAAAATTTGGTGAAGGTTTATTCTCTCAACTCTTAACTCGCGAATTTTTAAATCTATTTTGAATATTTTTATACTACTCAATAATATTTTATTAGTTGACGAGGTTCCCCATTTATTTTCTTTTCTGAAGTTGAAGATTATTTTCTTCCACATCAACTATATATAATTTTCTCTGTATTCCTTAAACAATTGCTTCTTATATTAATATCCTTTCCCGTATAAATTAAAAAAAAAAAGAAATGCCAACAGTCACTTGACAAACATTAATTTGCAATTGATCAGGGGGGGATCGATCGGAAATCAATGCAATCAGAAACCGTTGAATCGAGCGCGTAATTTGGTTACAATTGTCAGCAGATGCCACGCCTCGTTGCGATTTGGACTTCCTGCTCAAAAATAAAGGGGGGAAAGATTTGGAATGGGTATTGAACTGCGATCGGGGAAACCGTTAACAAAGCGCATCGAATGCCCAACTAATGATCACGAGGCCTGATCTCAAGTGATTACCAATATGGCTTACAACGGGGGCAGGCTGCAGAGGCAGGTCCGTCCCTTTGTCCAACTCATTAATAAGTGTTGAGGAATCACTTTAACACGATCAGGCAGAGGGAGATCTCTCTGGCAGAATGACTCCACACAAAAGTCGATAATGATGGCACCAACAGCGGGCACATATGAAAAATTAATTTACTACTACTGAACGTTGATTTCTGATTTCTGATCTGGTTACTTCATTATTACATCTATTTATAGGCGAAGAGAGCGCGCTAAGCTCATTAAGTAATGTGCCACCAGTTTGGAACTCGTTTTTCTTATTTCTTTTTTCTTTATTTATTTATTTGTTTAAAGGGGGAAGGCAGTGAGTTCGGTCCCTCCGATCATCATGATCGCCTTCTGGTTCGCATTGGCAATTGATTTGATTTAGTGCTGCGGGCTACTGCTGCTGTTTGCCTTTTAATTGCGGCCATGACTCGGCAGAAAAGGTCGTCTTGGCCCCAAAAACTCGGAAATCGTTCATAATTTTCTTGCAGAGGAAAAGAGAGAGGGGGAGAGACTGGAGAGATCCATGTTTATGTTTATCTTGTGTTCGATTTGATTTCTGAAGTGTGTCGTTAGGTGTTGTGGAATTTTCATGCTTGTGGTAGCATAAAGCAAATATTGATTTAATTGATTTGCTAAACAGAGCAGCCATCAGGTTGGTTGATATACTTTAAGGTGGAAAAAAAAGGAGTGTAAAAAGTAGGAGCTCATGTTCTGGGATATATATATAGGTGGCTATTTATAAAATAAATAAAAGGAGTAGTGAAGAAACCACTTTAAAAAATACATATCATGTTGAAAAAGAAATATAATACACAGAAAAGAATGACTATCCTTAAAGCTTCTCAGTTAAATCTTATACTTTTCTTCGCTTCACATAAAAATCAATATCTTTATGTATTTAGAGATTCCCAACTGAGACCATAACAAGCCATAAAAATAAAATAGAATTTGAAAAACATGTTTCAATTGTCATGTTGCGACCGGCTCATTGTTTCCACATCATTTTTGTTTTGGTTAACTTTGGCCACGTAAAACATTCTCGCCTTACCCTATTTACATAAACATCTATTCCTTGTCTTATATATACATATATCTATTTTTTATTTATTTTGTATATATACATATTTATGGCTGCAAAGATGCGACAGCTGTTGGGTCCAGACGGAAAGAAGTTTTCCAAGCTTTTAGCCGAAAGCGAAATGTTAAGGCAGACTGACTGTATATATACAAATATATATATATTTTTTGTTTATATATAATGTATATAGAAAGATAAGGGCAGACACAGACGCTGTGAGAATATGTTGCCACATTATTATCTGGCAAAAGACGACGACGACGATGGGGTGGTTTGCTTTTGCTTTATTTTATTCCGCTTTTTTTGTTGGTCCTGCTCCTTTTTCTATCCCGAAATGGAGCAACATATAGGTCTCCCCCTGTGTGTGTATGTGTATGTTTATATGCTTGTAGGCTGTCATGTTAACAAGGAAAAATAAAGCTTTTCCAGCGTGTGCGCATAACCTACACACACACACCTCCTTCTGCTAACAAACATGGCCGTGGAATATTTGAATTTTGCATGCCTGCCCTCGAAAGTGTGCTACGATTTTATTTTGCCCTACTCTTTTTCGGTTTTTTTTGTCAACACATTTTATTTGTTATTAATAATGCAATTGCATTTGATTAGCTTTTTTTGCGGCATTATTTACTCTTTGATTAAGCCACGGAATTTTTCATTACATTTGGTTGCAATTGCATGGCTTATTTCCACCTGTTTATTGTTATCGTTGCGATTATTTTTGATTGTTTATTATCAATATTTGCCAGGCCATTCATTAATGATAATTTATGGGCTTTCAATTTATGCAAGTTCATTGCGAAATATTCTCATATTCATAATGATTGAAATGGATTAAGTTGGCTTACACCCTGGTTGAAATGGTTACTTTTGGCCCAATGAGGCTTATCAGAGATTATTAATAAAAGAGGGTAGGTTAGTTATCATTATGGAAATATTGATTATATATTAAATGAGTCAGCATAGGTAATATAATTTTAATAGCTATGGGTTAATGTTAAATCATAGGCTTTATATGTCAAAATATTTCATAAGTAGAAATACTGTTAGAAGAGTAAATTATATTTACATTTGGTTTAACTTAAATTCCCTTAATTTTCTTGGTGTACTCCAACATTTGTTTATATATTCCTGCCACAATTTGTTATAAAAACAACAGTCTCTCTCTCTCTCTCTCTGTACTACCCATAAGCCTCCCTTTTATTCATTAAAAACAAAATTAAAATAAAGCGAGGCAACCACATTCTGCTAATGAAATAATTAACTTAAACATAAAAAGTAAATACAGGGGCCGTGTGTGGGAGAGACAGAGAGAGAGGGAGGAGCTGGAGAGCAGGATGGCAACATCAACCGCAGTCGCCGTTTGACACAATTCATTAAGCTTAATGAAGACAGTAGAGAAAGAGATGGCACGAGCCTGCTGTCTAGCTGTTGCGTTTTAATTAAAATTCAAGTGGCATTTTCTGTGTCATCCCCTTCAGGAATTTCCCCTCCCTCGGACCCGGTGAAACTTGTGCTTTAAGCATATAATCGGGCATAAAACAGGCCATAAAACATTGTACAAGGCTTTTGCAGACAGAGACGGCAACAGTGGCACTTAATGAGCCAGCTTCAGACCACCTGTATTTCGCATATATATATGTATATATCCCTTACCTGGGATGTGTAAAAAAAGGTGCAGATTATCCGCCCCACCAACTTGTACGTTGGAGTGTGGAATTTTACTGCTCAGCAACCAGATTGGCATTAACATTTTACAAGATTGTTATATCAACGTGAGAAGAGGCGGGAAAATGATTAAGGTTCTGGCTGCCACAAGGAGTCTTCCTTTTTCACATTGATTTATTACAAGGACAAACATTTTAATTGGCTGGTAATTTCGAAAACTTTATTGTTGAATTTTTAACGAATGTTGAAATTATTTATGCTGGTTTAAATTTAAAATAAGCTAGAAGCTAGTTGCTTTGATTCGTGTTTAAATTTGCTTACTAAAATTTCAAGTAAATTGTTTCAAAGCCCCCCAAAACTTGACCTTCAATTCAAATAGTTTTAAATCAAGATTAAAATGTATTTCAGTATCCAGAGTCTAGACCTATGTAAGTCCTATCTCAATTTCTTCACAATGTTTAAATTATATTATTCCTCTTCTATTAACATTTATTGTTAACAATTGTCTCCGCTTTGAGGCAGAATATACACCCATTCCTCATGATGTTATATGAACGCCTTCCTTAATTTTCTTGCCATAACGACCGATAATAAATGACATTTTAATATTTTCAATAAGGGAAACATTTACACAAAACAGCACACGCCCACCTTGACTTCAGTTTACCACCCCAAAACAAAAAAAAATATTAATGCCGATAAAATTATTGGCTTTAGAGAGGAAATCAATGAGGAAAGGAAGGATCAGTGCAGTAAAACGAATTTAAAATACACTTACCCCGATTTGAAATAAGGACTTTTGTGCTTGAAATAATTTACACAAAAACATAAAGTGAAGATTGATTTTTCAAATTCCAATTTCCATTGTCATGAACTTCATCCAGCTTCCTTCAAAGAGTAAATAAATCATTTTATTAATGGTTTTGACTTTGACTAACTATTTATCGATATATGACAATTTTAAACACTTATAACTAAGCTAAAGAACCACTAATTTTAATTCGAAAAGCTTTTCTATCTCTATTTTTATAAGGCTAATAAGTCTGCTTAGTCGATTTAAGATTTTAAAAAATATTAAAAATTTTATTAATTTTTGAAAATTTTAGCAATGTAACCCTTTATAACATTTTGAAAAAATTTTGAAAAAATTATTTTTTAACCGGAAATGGCTAGATTGACTCGGCTGTTGATGCTGATCATATATACATATACGATTTATAGGGTCGGAAATGACTCCTTGACAGCGTTACAAGCTTCCAACTAAAGTCAAAATACCCTGCAAGGATATAAAAAAAATACAGAAAACTCATTGAAATCGAGAGGAAAAAGTGCAAATGCAGCGATGCCAACAGGGTGACTTATGCGATTATAGACAACTGCCGCTGCTGGCTGAATCAACCGGCGGAAAAACCGGGGCGTTCAGCAGATAAAAAGGGGACAAGGAGGAGGACACATTTCCATTTCCATTTTCATTGCAGCATTGCTTTTGAGGGCCGTGACATGAGCAAATAAACGCTTCATATTTGTCGGTTATTTATGAGGGTCCTTGCAGGACGCAGCTGCCAACCGCTGAGCTGCGAGCTCTTCCGAAAGAGAATAAAAAAAATTATCACTGCTACAATTTTTCTTGCAAGGGATTACGCTTGTTACAATGTGAATGTTGGTGGACAGAGGACCCCCCACAGCCAAAAGGGAGCTACCCTTGGAACATCCTATTCCCCCTTTATTGACAAGACTTGTTAAGCTCCAGAATTGTCTGCGAAAAGCTAAAAAAAAATATATATATATAGGAAAAAAACCAAACAAAATAAAACCTGACGTATATATTTAATGTCACACACATTTTTATTTGAAGCAAGCATTTTGTTTTCATAATTCGACAAGAAGGACAATCAAACTGGGACAGAGTAGCAGCTGACAGGAAAATGGAAAAGTCGTGCTTATTTTTGGAAAGCAATTAAATTTAATAATAAAATTAGAGGGATAAAATATGGTTTTTATTTTTTGAGGGGTATAGAAAATATATAATAATTAAACTTGTATTGAATCGCAATCCCTTAATTGGGTCCGTTTAATAACTTTAACATAATATGGATAGTAACTTTCTATATTTAATACTTTAAAATATATACCCAACAAGATAGTTCAACAAGTATATAGTTTTCTGATATTCTTCTTAAATTATTTCATTTAAATCTTATTAAAAAAATATTTAAAAAAAACTATACAAAAATCCCTGGCTAATTTTTACATTTTCCCTAATTTCCTGACTTTAGTTTAACTCTTTTTTAACAAATAACTTTAATATGTTCTATGATTACAATACCTCATCCCTACCCAAACCCTCTTTCAACCCTTTTTGAGCAATTTTTCATAGTGCAGGGTTTTTAGCAACAATAAAAAAAAAGTAACCTTATCTATATGAAAGCTGTTAGAAATAACAATTTAAATTAATAATTCTGAGCAAATGGCACCAAAGTATCATAAAGGGACACAAAGTTTCAGACCCAGAACACACACACACACCACTCCACACAAACCCAACACCCTCCTCCTCTCCCTTATTTTTTGCATTGAGCACAACGGCTGTCTGTGGCTTTACCTTTTTCACCGGAACTCATTTCCCTTCCGGGTTTGGGTTCCCCTTGCGTCGTGCATATTTAGTTAAATCATTTCACATAATTAGGGATCATTTAATAATGGGGTGACATTAATTGAAAGCACACACACAGAGACAACCCACCACCACCCACCAGTAGCCACCCCCCTCTTGCACTGCCCATTCCCACGGCTACCGTTTAATTTTATGACCACCCTCCTCCTCCTCCTCCTTCTACGCCCCTGTCCACTTGACTGACTTTACGAGCCAAACGGGGCACGTAGCTGGCCCCCTTCCGGCGCCCTGAATAATACCCCTCTGGAGGAGTGGGCGTGGTCTGTTTTTGGCCCACTTGCCTCGCTTTTATTGGCCTTTAGCTGCTGCCACCGTCGACGGGGTCGTCGTCGTCGCTTTGGCTAATTGATTTTAATGAAGGCTCCCGACGATGACGACGGCAAAGTTTTTGGCCCTCATCCTCGTCTTGTCGTCCTACCATAAATTGCTGCGGTCAATTTCGGTTTGTTTATTGGGCAAACGTGTGCATAGGGATTTTTTCTCGGCTCTCATTGGGAGGAAAATATATTTTGTATTCAATTAATTAGTGTGCAATTATTATTCTTAAGGAAAATAATATTAGCAAGGAGAAGAGAATGATATAAAACTTTAGGGAAACTTTAATAACATTTAGAATAAGGAGTTCATGAATTACTACATCAAAATGATAATAGAAAAGAGTTACTGTTTAATAAAATAAAAAATTAATACAAGCAAAGGTTCTAATTCAAAAATATGTTTAAATTCATTTTAGATATAATTTTAGGCATCATTTTAGACATCATTTTGATTATTATTTAACATATTATCTGGGGCTTCATTTCATATTATTTAAAAACCCCTAAACACCTTTTCCAGTGTCTCCCCAAAACAAAAACAAAAAAAACTTTCTTCTTCTCAAATTAGCAGCTGTCGCCTCGTAAACAATTAATAAATGTCAGGGAAAACTTTTGTGCCGCAACAAGGAAACCGATTTGCAACCAACCCTTAGGATGCGCTAACAACTTTGTCCACATCTTTACGATGCGACATTATTTAACAATTCATAATTACAAATTTTTTGAGGGGGAGAAGGGGGCAGCATAAAGTGTACACATTTTGGAGAAATGTTGTAAACAAGGTACTCAAAGTGTTTCAATTGTGGAAATATGAAAAGTTTTATGGATATTGAAAGTGAAGAAGATAGGCGCTGGCTGAATGGGAATATTAAAGGGGTTTTAATGGAATTTAATTAACTGAGAAGTAACTGAATCTTATATATAGCATATATTATTTCATAAGTAAGATTTAATATACTTCACTGCTCTAAACTTGCAGTTTTTTAATCATTTTCTGACTTTGAAGTTATATATTTCCTTTAAAAGTCTTATTTTCTTATAATTCACATTTCTTTATCTCCTTTCCAGTGTCTGCCAATCTGTCCCAGTCTCATCAGCATCATCCTTCCAATGACAAGGATGGTAAGAAGAAACACACCCGCCCAACATTCAGTGGTCAACAGATCTTTGCCCTGGAGAAGACATTCGAGCAAACCAAATATCTGGCCGGACCAGAGCGTGCCAAGCTCGCTTATGCCTTAGGAATGTCCGAGTCGCAGGTTAAGGTAAGCAAAACATATATAATTCTTAGAATTATCCCTAACAGAGAGACTCCATCCTAAACCCTGGCAAATGCAAATTAAAAACTCATAAAAATGGCGGGTTGATTGCCTCGAAACCGAACCCAAAAAAAGAGCAACTGACTCCCAAAAATAAAAAAAGGTAGACAGGAGTAAAGACAAACTCCGCTTATTTTCCCCCCTGACTTTTCTCACAAAAAATTTGCATTTTTATTGAAAGGCAAATCTCGTGGATTTCCGAAAAATACAAAATGGCGCAAATGGGTCTCGATGGTGCCCATTTTCCCTCCCCCCACGGGAAGGACGACCTCGTCCCAAAGGCTTAGTGCAATGTGTCGCTCGAAACACCGTTTTAAAGTTTCCCCTTTTTTGTTGTTGTGAAAAAAACGAGGAAAATGTTATCAACAAATAAATCCTTTGTGTCGTCAAATTTGTTGTCATCAACTTTTGTTGTAATCCGACCCGGGGAAACGCACGTGTCACGGTTTTTCCATCCGTGGTCTCTGTCGCGTGTGTCGTATGGGATTTTGTATCTTACACCGCGTATTCGTATCTGTATCTACAGCTGTATCTGTATCTGTATCTGAGCGGTGGTTTCCTTCACGATGGTCTCGTAATTTTGAATTAGTTGTAAGCCGGTCAAGTTAATTGGGTTCCAAAGAGTTTTTAAACTTATGTAAACAGAAAGAAGAAGTTAAAAAACTCGGGAATATTTATATATTAAACTATATATATTTAGAACTATATATATTTTGTATAAAAAGGTAATTGAAGCACTTCATTTTTGAAGCTTTAAAAGGATAGAAACTCCTAAGATTTCATACAGAAAAATACCTCTAAACAAAAATGCAATCTGAAACCCTGTAATAACTCTTACTTCTTCAAAATCACTTGACCATCATTGACCGTGCTTTACCCAATCAGATTTTCTGATTAGAAGGACATGATTGCCTCATTTGGGCGACATTTACTCCCCCCCCTAGATTTCCCATTTTCCTCTCCCCCTCCCAAAAAAGGGAAATCCTTTTCTCGCCACACAACTGGGCGCAGTTCAGGAGTGGAAAAGAAATCACGTTTATGATGAGGAAAAATGATTAATTGCCAAAGAATGAGGCACAGCGTAGAAAGAGTAAGAGAGAGAGAGAGAGACATAGACACTGAAAGAGACAGCAACAGGGACAGAAATAGAGATAGATAGATGAACATTCAGGATTGATGGCTTGAGCTGCAGCTAAATATGCGTCATTTTGTGCTAAGGACTAAACAGGGGGGGAAAAGGAGAATGCGCTGATGACGAGTACAAATGGACAGTGAGATGGATGGAAACTGCAGGATTTCGGGTTGAATTTCGGCTCTCAATTTTCCCTCCTCCCCCCACACATTTTCCCCCCTCCCCCTCCCACGCTTCCTCTTCGCGCTGTCTCAACTCGCCTCGTCTCGTCACCCTGATAGACATGCCAAATGACTGCATGACTTTTGGGTGAGTGTAAATTAAATTCTGGACCCCGATGGGTCCTGGATGGCACGAAATGCACAAGGGGGACATGGTAGATCCATGATGGCCAGCACATCCTGCTAGCTTCATACATATTCAATTAGTGTGTGTCCATGTGTGTGTATGTGTGTCTGTGTTGGCCAGAAGCAGAGAGTCAGAGCCAGAGAGAGTGGTATGAAAAACAGCCATGACGATGATAGTATGCAAATTGACAAACAAAAAGGCACAAGCCGGACAACAGCCGCCCCTCCCCAAAAAGCCAAGGCAAATTATGACAGACAGACAAAATGCAAAGTGGCCGAAAGCACTGAGAGAAATTTGAGTCGTCTTTGGGCTTGAAGAAATTCATAATAAGTCAAAGAAGCCTATGTTTCGTATTCGGTAAAAAAAATATAAAATTCAGAAGTCTCACTTTTAATCACAATACAAAATTTAAAATATGATTTAGAAGAATCTTTATTTAAAGCTACGAGTTTCTATTTCAATTCTTAAAATGAATAAGTAAATTTAAAAAATATATATATTTAAAAATCATTCATAAGTAATCTAAATATTGTGCGAATATATTTTCATTTAATTTAAATATCTTTGTGTTTACAACTTTAAATATATTTGAATTGAATTCATAGCATTAAAATATATAAAAAAAATATATTCCTATGTCATCTTAAGCTATTGGTAAAAAACTTTTTATAAATTACAATATTAACACCTTAATTAAAGGTTTCAATTGAGAAATAATTTCAATTAATATCATATCCAAAACAGCAGAATTTATATTATTTATATAAAAAAGGCAATATTATATTCTTTTGTATGCCATAACATGTTCTTTCTGATTTCTTAAATTCATAAGATAATTTTAACAAAGTTTACAGAATTTCAAGATAATTTCTTGCAGTGTCTGCATATGGACGTGGGCGGTTGGCCAAATGATCTTGACAAGAATAATTGCGCTGTTATCATAATTAAAACCGTTTTTGGACACAGCCAGAGGAAGGGGGCGAGTACGAACTCCTTTCGTCCTTTCGTTTTAGCAATCATTTAATGCAAATGGTCGCCATTTTGTACGCTCTTATGAGAGGAAGCCCCAATCCGAAGCTGTTTCCTCCCGCTCCGAACTCTTCCTTCCGCCGCCCAGTGAATTATAGCGTCTGTGGCCATTATTAATGACATACCATGTGTGTGTGTATGGTGTGTGTGGGTGAGGGTATAGTTAGGAAGAGGTCCTGTTCGAGTAATAAAATTATTGCATGCTTTGTTGTTATAGCTTTTTCGTGATTTTTGCCCGCTCTCAACTGTTGTTTTGCATAAATGTAATGGCATTTTTGGGTTGGGATTTCCCCTGATTGTTCAGTCAATGTATGTAAACACTTTGGGATTGGGTTTTGTTTTGCAAATAGTACACAGAAAGGTGGGTTGGGAATAATGGCCAGGAAGGAGAGAGAGAGTCTGCTGCCATTATGTGTAATTGGCTCAAAAGCAAAAGATAATTTTGGGGAATTAATTAAATAAGAGGAATGAGCAAGCATAGCTGGAAATTATAATGGAATGAAATAATCAGTAGGAGGAAGAGTAGGATAGGAAAACTTTTGTTTTCTAAAATTCTGTTCCCTTTAAATACAAATTTTTGAACTAGTTTAGTTAAAAAATAATTCCTTAAATACAAATATAGTCAAATTCAGTCACCAATATAATTCAAAATTTCTTCAAAAAGTCCACATTTAACTTTGCTTAGCTCATTCTTAAAACAAATTTATTTAACTCTTTGTGAAATCAACTTTGAAATGAGTTAAATCTGTCAAATAAACACTTTGTGGTTTTTATAAACCTTTTAGCATAAAAATTTTTCAAATATATAAAGCAAATCAAGATTCTATTCAACATTTCTAGGAAGCCATTCAGGCTGCCATAAATGAATACTTTTTCAGGAATCTGGCTAAGTGATATCGGTCGTAGATGGCCAACAATATTTTATTATGGCTAAAATGCCTCTTTACGATCTGTTACTCTTGATGAGACAAAGAGCGGACCGCATAATTAGCACCAGAATAATGAAAGCTTATGGAACCGAACTCGAGGCAACTGTCAGAAGTGACAGTTTTGGCAATGACAATGGTCGACGTGAAGTGACAGGGGACGAGTTCATAAACAAAAAAAAAAAACATGACAGAAATTTGAAATAATCTCTAATTGATTTTCCTCCACGGACCAGCAAAGAATTCCATTGTGGCCGACTAATGGATTTGATTGTGTGTTAATGAATGGGGGTTACGTTTGGAATTTACATATTTGAAGACGATTTTCTAGGGTTGCCCCAACAATTAGTCAAATATCCCAAGAATAAACTCAGAAAAAAAAGGTAACAGCAACAGAAATCAAATACATTTTTATGGCAGAGCTCAAACCGTGAGTTGGCTTCAAGTTTATGGCTACAAAAATACAAAATCAAATAAATCACAAACTCACATAAATACGGAAAGCGAGGACCATATAAGGAGCGAGGGCGAGCTGGCCATACGAATTCGAAAATTTACGATCCAGAACTACAAAGCACACATACATTCAGATACTCAGATACTCAAATAAATAAATAAAAAATTCTGTGGACCAATAGGAGCAAATAAAAAATATAAAAAAAGAAACACAGGAGAGAGACGGGAAAAAGGTGAACGAGGTAGGAGCCAACTTGTCAGGGTCGATGTTACCCAAAAAGGCATTGGCCATGTTGTAAATGTTCATGACTTTTAAGTATCCTTCCCCGCACAGGACGCGTAAACAAATAAATTTCCAATTTGCCCAAAAGAGTCATATATATTTCGATGCCGAGGGTTTCTTTTTTTTCGGTTTTGGTTTTGACATACCCCTCTGGTCCGTTCCTACGAAAATTTACATAACACTTTTTATCCTTATCTGTGGTGCCCACCTGACGGATGATGGGACCAGAGAAACAAAAGGCACAAAAGGACCTCCTACTCTTCGGACTCTGACTCCAAAACTCCTCTCCCGCTGTGGTGCCAAAATCGAATATGTTTTATAACATCCTTTTTCCTTTTTTGTCGGAGGAGGTGCTATCCCGATCCTGTGCCGCCATAAATAAATCCCAATACGAATTGGGAAGCGTAACGTAAAGTAACGTAACGTGACCAAGTCAAATTGATTGCCACAATATTTGATTGACTTTGACATGTTGGCTGTCATAAATTGTGTATCTGTTTCTTTGAACCGACTGAATTTTGGCTATCTATATACCTGGTTGTACCTGCCAAAGCGGGTTCTAAGTTCTTCAGCTGCTGCTATTTACCATTTTTTGTGGTTATAAATATTTGTGGCAAGTATTTGTGAAATTTCAGTCAGGGATTATAGGGTTTAGAACACCCAAGGTATCGATAAAGGCTACTTAAAACTAGTAGAACTTTTTGAGGAAACATTTAACTACATTTAAGGAATTTATATGAAGAAAAAGGTATTTGTATTTAAAGATAAAATGCTGTAAATTAGATTGTATAATCAGCTTAGGAATAGTTGCATTTTAAAACATTTATAGACTTCCTTTTTAAATAAAATACAGCTATTTTTAGTAGCTTATCCTCTCCAATTTTAATATATTTCCAAAGTTCTTTGCTTTGAAATCACAAATATATTCTTAAAACATTTAATTCTATGGCCTGGATATTTTTCGAAGTATCTTCAATTTAAGCCTGATTCCTTAGCTTCAAAACTCCAATATTTGTTGCCCTAAAAACCATCAGCAATCTGTTGTCAGTGAATCTCAGTCAACCAAAGGAAACATCAACTATGCTTTAGTGGGTGCTAGATGACGCACTCACCATTCGCAATATGATGACGACAAAAATATGAAAAGAGGCGGTGGGGAAAAAAGCCAAGGGAAAAGCCAAAGGAAAATGCTAGAGGAAGCCCAACCAACCAACACTTGCCCCCAAACTTGCTCAATTTTCCGTTTTTACCCATGGCTCAGTGGCAAATCCCGTAACAACATGGACACAGATGTTACCAAAAAAGAATGACCATGAAAAGCAGCCTTAATGATGCTGGCTAATGTTGTTGTTGCCGCCGTGTTGGCTGTCTGTTGTTTTCCTCCCAAAAAAGGAAAACCAAGACACAACACTGGCACTGCCTGTCTGCTTTCCACTGCGGCTTGTAACACACGGAAAATATTAATTGTATTTTTATTTCGCATAATGTTGCAAATAATAATTACACAAATGTGCAAATGAAGTTGTAAATTATCCTGTATCTGGTTTAATTGCACCTTTGGGCGGCTGTTTCTCGGCGTTGATTTCGTTAAGGATATGATGGGTTCTAGGAGAGGGCAGGGAAATGTTTAACAAAAATGGTTATGACCATAGTCTGGGAGAGGTAATTATGTTGATCTCTTGATAGGACATAATGGAAATTAACTGAAATTTGCAGGAACTCTTGAAGAATATAGTTGTGATATAATTTATGGATATTGTAATCACTGAGAAAGTCTTTCTTTCAAAATATCTTGAAGTTTAAATCAAATTTCCATTTAAATTCAAAAATTCCAAATCTGAACAAGAACTCCAACACTAAGTGGCCATTTATAGGCTTTGTTAATGATTCTAACTGCAAACAGCTACCAAAAATCTGCTCCATCATCAGGCAAATGTAGAAATTATGCCGATTTTGAGGCAGCACACGCTTTCGAGGAACGAGGAACAAGCTGCAGAACGTGCCTGGAACTTGGGTGGTGGGTGAATCCCCCTTTTAAAACAGCCAGAAGATGGAGAGAGAGTGAGAGGAAGGGGAGGAAAATGAGACGGGTTTTTGGCCAACATATGTTGCCACAGAGCGAGGAAAACGAGGCCGGGGCAAAATGAAGCGCAGCTAAAAGACGTTAGTCATGGTTTTGTGCATAGTTTTTGCCGCTGAAACAGTTGCTGTTGCTGCTGCCGGGCAACATTTCGCCCATTTGGCTGCCCAGGGCTTAATATTGTCTTAATTGAGGGTTAACCGGCGTTGATGATGCGACTTATGGGCCCACATGCCCACGCCCACGCCCTCGATCCCTTCCCCTTGGCCACTTAATGACTTTGACAATGTGACTTGCCTAATTACACATGCAGAGAGCTTTCAAACTTAAAACTTGAGTTTTGAACTAGTGATGGTCTATGGAAATATTGATATTTAAAACTCAGATAGACATGTGTATCTATTCAAAAGGAATATATTATTTACCTAATTTATCAATTCATATATTTAATCCATAAATAATAAAACGTCTTATAGAAATCGAAATATACTTTGATTTATCGATTAACCTATCGACCGAAATGTATAAATTATGATTTTCGATTATGTTTCCAAGCTGTAAACAATATTCTAACTCTGAAACTTAATCAATGTTTGATATTTTCAATAATCTCTTTATTTTGTTGAAAAAATAAAGATCTTTTGTTAAGAAAAACTACATAAAATAATACTAATGCTAGGGATAAACCTCTCTTTTAAATATTAAAAATTTTCCTTTTCAAAACTAAATGCCAAACGATGTTATCGATAAACAACCCGCTTATTTTCGATAGTTTGATTTGTCCTCTATATTTGTTCATCTCAATTTCTTGAATTTGCTGGAAAACCCCAACTAAATTGAAATTTCTATATTTCGTTTTGCAGGTCTGGTTCCAGAATCGTCGCACCAAATGGCGCAAGCGGCATGCGGCGGAAATGGCCACCGCGAAGAGGAAACAGGATGACATGGGTGGCGATAACGATGGCGATTGCAGCGAGACCATGGACAGCGATAACGAAAGCATCGACTTGGGGGAATCCCCCGCCCAGAGCAAGAGATGTCGCAGCAATAGCTCCGGCTCCTCGCAGCAGCAACAGCAGCAGCAGCAGGATAATTATCGCCATTAAAACGAATTTACAAACTACGGACGAAACTCGCAATGAAATGGAATGGAATACACTTAAAATAAATTTCAAAAGCGCCAGCTAATTAGCTAGAGAACCCAGCAGCCACAAAAGCAGCAGCAGCAGCAGCTAAACACAATTGCAGCTAAATTATTTGGGTTTGAGTTTTAAGGTTTTGCCACTTTACCGTCTTCTGAAGACTTCATTTTCCTCCTCCCTCTGTCTATCTCTTTGTTTATTAGGTGTGTAAATATTTATGTTAATTTTATAAAAAATAAAAAACAATTACCTTTAATATAAAGCTTAATTAACGTCGCTAATTGGTAAGGCACAAGCACAAACAAAAATTAAACTGAATTTATTACATATTGTATGTTTAGTTTCTAATCCCCTAACTTTAATGTAATTTCGTGCATTAGAACAGACCTTAGTTCATACATTTAAAATATAAATATATATATAAAAACTATTAACGATTAACTATGCTAACTGAGATTGCGCCACACAATATTTACAATATTGATGATGATGATGATGATACTGAACGCGAAAGACGATTGATTAACTATTGCAGTAAATAATAATATGTAAAATGTACTTAAATTAAATTAAATTGTAATTTTAATTATTTCGAATTGATAAAAACAAAATAAAATGCAAGGAAAAATTTAATGTGAATGGTGATTTTTATGGTAAATAGACATCAATTTATGGTTTTTAGAGTGTTGTGCTGGAGGTATTTGTGAAGAAGTATAACTATTACTATGACAAATTAATTATTAAATCTGTAACTATAATATACAAACTCCAGAGTCCTCCGCCGATTTATATAATTATTCAAATCAGGATTATTTTAAACCTTTAACACCTCTACAAAAAATATTGTAAGGTGCAACGGAGAGCAAGAATTACGACTAAATCCGATCAGCCAACTCCTACAACAGAATTAAGAAGTGATTCTTCAGATGGCTTAAAACTCATAACAATTACAAACCGGAAATCTGCTTCAGGCACTCCTCCCTTGCAGTCAATCCGGTCTGTGCAGTCAGTCAAACGACAATCCGTCAAACGGACAAAGTCAAAAGGATTAACTCGAAAGTATTTCTTTCGGACCAACAAAGTGCAGACAAAAACCGAAAACAGGAAAAAATGTATGAATGAACGTCACCGGAGTGTAAGGGAAATGTGTGAAAAGAATCAAACTAAAACCATAAGATTGATTAACTGTCAATCAAGTGAGCATATGAGTAGAAGACATTGGACAACCCAATGAATGAATGAATGAATGGAATCGAAGCAGGTTCAATTCGAGAAGGCGATACGGGGCGAAATAACAATAAATATCATTAAATTATGAATGCCGCCCTTCCTAGGTGGTAATAATGGGAAAAATTGAAATCGGAATGCAACATGCTGATATAGTAATGATGAGAATTCAAGGATGAAATCGTGCTTAAGGAAATAAGAGTGTGACTAAGGTAGTAAGGTTAATTTTAAATATAAAGAAGAAATGTATGCTAGAAATGTACAAATCCTCAGGAAGTAAGATATCTCGGGAGGGCTTCAAAAGTATATTCCTTGACCTCTTTTTGAGGGAAAAACTCCTCTATACCATCTCGAATAGAAAAAGAGTGAGGCTTGGCCTATCCGCGGACTCATTGAACTGAAACTGGCTAATGACTCCCCGGGCACTGCCACTGACTGTTGCAACTACCGAACTGCCATTGTTGACTCGCATCTAATGGAGCACCCACATTAATCATGCTTTAACAACGAATGCAATGGCAAACAATCGTAACTCTTCTCTGTATTTTCATTGGGTTGAGGGGAATGAGCCTCAAACTCGGTTCGTTTCGATTCAAAACGCCATTAGCATACCGTCGATAATTACCTAGGAGAGCCATTAGCGGCAAACTCGGTAAACAGCAGCCGTATTACGTGATATTCATAGGAAGAGAGTCTTGGAGTATTTCGAATTTCAAATCAAAAACGAAAAGAATGGGGGACAGGCGGCTTCTTCTGTGCGAATTCTGCAAACTCATGGAACCTATTGAACCTGGCACGTTTCCCCCTTCAATTGGATGAACTTCCGCACAGTTCCGGTGAGTTTTTCTATCACCTTTTGTGTTGGGTGCGCGCCCAAAGTCAACTTCCAGCAATTGACGTCCAAGTGTGAATTGCCTTTGAATTTGCCATTTCAGATCAGGTTTAGTTTTTCATCTTTTCTTCCTATACTTTTTTGCCAGCTGCGCAGGCGTCCTGCGAACGTGCTCGTCTCTGGTTTCCTTTCGGATGAGGATCAATTTCGGATCGGTTCGTATGGGTTTCAGGTAAATCCCATCTAAGCCGCTTATTGACGCTGAGGTTAATAGAATTTCGGGCAAAAAGAAAGCAAACACAATAAACTGTGCCAGTGTGCGAACGTGTCCCAGGAGGACAATTTGACTTAGGGACTCAGGCCTGTGTTAATCTCCTTGCTGAAATATTGCAAAACCGAGTTCCAGAACATGAGAGGGGCTTGCCAATTCGGTTTGTTTGTGTTCTCTTCGTGTCAAATATAATTTGATTAATTGCTTTATTGTTTTTGAGGATTTTAGGAGGAATGCTCAACAGCAATTTTGGCCTTGCATAAGATTATAGAGCACTAAAATTATACACTTAAATGGATTTTAAGTGTTACCCGGCTTAGTTCTTGATCTGGATCGGATTTTAAAGGGATGCGAATTTTAGAGCCTGTTGATTTTGTAGTTGTTCATTTTTTAATCCTATTAATACATGTTCAGGAAGCAACATTCTTGTTTAATTTTATATATACATAGATACCCTTAAGTCTTTAGTCAGTAAATATATATTTAAACTATAAAGGAAACTAATATTGCTTTACCAAAGTTAGTTTCTGTCCAATTTAATGTACATCAACTGATTAAACCCTTTCTTCAAATCGATATTTATCGGTAGAATTTTTATGGAAAAATCAAATTCTAAAATAGCTACAACTAAGCCAAAAATCCATTAATTTCAATTCAGAAAGCGGTCCTATGTTAGTTTTTATCGGTCTAATAAATCTGCATACTGAATAAAACATTTAACAAAAATCAAATTTTTGATAATTTTTAAAATTTTTAACGATGTAACCACTTAAAAAATTTTGAAAAAATTTGTCAATTATTTTTTTCTTTACAAACAGTTCTAGTTTACTCGCCTGTTGATGCTAATTAAGAATATATATGATTTATAGGGTCGGAAATGACTCTTTCATTTCCTAACAACCATTTAACTAAAACTAAAGCATATTTCTTGTGAATATTTAATAAACAAAAATCTACTAACTGTGCTGTATTTAAATTTGTACTCAGCATTATTCCCACACAATTTAAAAAAGGAAAAGTGCACCGTTTCCTCTGATTTCTTTCAAGAAAGTTAAAAAGGACGGCACAGCCTTAAAGGAGCACTCCTAGAAAATCGATAAAATAACGAGTTTGGAGGCGCAGCACCCACTGAAAGGGGGAGAATTCCCTTTTCGGGGGAATTACCAGGATGGGCTGCTATGTATTCGCATTCGAATGTGTGCTGGCCATAAATAGCCAGCCAACAAGGGCTTCTCGCCGGGATTGCTGGCCAAAAATGTACTCCAGTCGGCAGCAGTTTAGCCTGACAATGACAGGCCGGAGTTTTTTGGAGTTGGGAGCGGGAAGTGTGGAGTTTGTGGAGCTTGGCCATCACCCCTTTCGGACAGCGGATTTCGGGGTGACACCTCATGAATGTCCATGGAGTGGAGGCAAAAATGGGAGACAAAACATCGACCATTTCACTAAACAAAAATGTGCAAAGATATCTAGAAAATAAGGTACATAATTACCAGAATAGAACATGAATTTAAAAAATGTGTTTTTGAAATAGAAAAATTTGCCTTAAAAAGCACAATTATATATGAACACAAGAATTTGTTATTAAATGTATAGGAGTAATGTTTATAAATTCAAAAATATATATCCCAAATTCTCAAAACAAAATATTTTATAGATGTATCTCAAAAAACGAAGACAATAATCGATTAGAATAGAATAAAAACTATCTAAAAACTATAAAATAAATCTATAACGTTTTAAGAAATAACTCTTATAAATCAATCATATTCCAATATATTTCTTATAATTCCCAACTAATTTTAACTAGAAATCGTATTAGTAATCTATATTTTTTAAAGTGCTCTAACTAGAGCAGGATTGGGCGCTCCACTAAATTGTCCCTCGACACAAATTCGAAATCGATAAATGATAAAAATCAACAGAAACTTCATGGATGCTCTTCTCGTCCCTGTTGCCATCTCACTTGCTCTGCCTTTTACCGTGCGCCCTCTCGCTCGCACACTCACTCAAATGATGGCGTCGGCAATGTCGCTTCATGAAGCTTTTATTGTCTGTCTATTTCTAAGCTTTGTACATGGACTCTCCACTCTCCAGTCCACTTTTCCACTCCTCGCCTCCAACTCCCCCACTCTTCCGGGCCGGAAAGGGAGGGCCACAGTATAGCTATCCTGCTTGCACCGGATTAGAAGCATTCTCTCGCTCACTCGCTCGCACTTTCGGCAAATATTCGAAAACTTACCAAATTGTTTTCGCTGCTGGGGTTTTGCCGGGTGGATTCCAATGCTGATGTACGAGAGTCGAGAGCGCTTCCTCTCGCCCATGTCCTGTCTATTTTCCTGGGGATGTCTCTCTATATCTATCTGCGAGCGGGGTAATATACGATGTCCCTGGCACACTCTGTATCTCTGTATCCCTTGCCTCTGTATCTGTATCTGTGAGTGGGTGTGTTTCCAAACGGCAAGCGGCAAAGTCCTTTGTAGGCAGACATCGACATTGATTATGCCGTGTTTTTCTTCTGTTTCTGCCCTTATTCCGATGCCGTTGTCGTTGTCATCCTCCGCAGCGAATTGAATTATTGTTTATGTTTATAGCAAAACAATGTCAGAGTATGCGTTTTTAATGATCATTGTAGGGGCAATCTATTTATATAAAATAGAAGGAGATATCACAGATGGGAAAACGGGGCAAGAGGGAT